CCTATGCCAATGAAAACCTTGAAAACCATTAGAGCACAAGTGCATGTATATGAAAGTGTACACTTTGGAAGCCACATACAAGGTAATCCCTTGAAAGTAAGCAAGCTTATCAAGGCAAAAACTAGACAAATGGATTTGATTAAGAATCACATGATATAGATATAAGAACTTGTGTTATGTTGCATCCTTGAATGCTTGAACTTTAAGGCCAACATTTTGAACTTTATAAACACTAGAAACATGTACACCTTTGTAAAAATCATCCAAAATATAAATACACTTAAGGATACCATCTAAGACCATAAACCCTTTTCATTGGGCCATGTTTGGCCGTGAACACCACCCTAGGAAGGATCCTAGGGCGTAAACACCCCTTAGTGGACTTTACTTGGGCGTAAACCACTTTAGGAACTAACCTTAGGGCGTAAAATCCATGGTGGACCACACCTTGGGCGAAAACTCCATCCTAAGAAGAACTACGGCCATATACTCAAAAGGGAAGGCACAATTGGGGCGTAAACACCTTAAGGATGTGATGTGTCGGCGTAAACACCTTAAGGATGTGATGTGTGGGCGTAAACACCTTAAGGATGTGATGTTAGGGCGTAAACACTTTCCTAGGGAGCATCTTGGGGCGTAAACACTTAGATATTTTAAAGTGTTTACGTATTTGTAAGTTGTATTTTACCATTTTCCCATGCAATCACGAATCCTTATGAATTATCCAACAGTTCTCCAAGTAAATTTCACATCAACCTTACTTCCCTTATTTAAACGAGAACACCCCCACCAGACCTCACCATTCCCTCATTCTTGTTCTCATATCAATCCATACCCTCTCATACATCCCTCCCTCATTTCACTTAGCAAACAATTCATACTTCTTCAAGAACAAGCTTAGAATCTTCAAGTTCAATATTCTTCAAGTACTATCCCTAGATCCCTGTGAGTATTTCAATTTTTGGCTAGTGATTCTACATATGATTTTGTTTATTTCATCATATTTACACATAAAATTATGTGTTAATATTCCTAGGATATTCTAAGGTTCAAAGAGTTTATCAAACTCTTCAAGTGTTAGAACTTGGAAAGTTCTCAACATCTCTTCAAATCATCCACCAAATCAAAGCACGGTGAGCTTCATACCCCCATATTTTCAAGTTTTTCTATGTTTTAGGGGGGGGAGGAATACAAGTCAAATTATGTTTATTCCACAAATAACTATAAGTTTTCATCTTTGTGTTAAGGATAAACTAGTATTTGTATAAGTTATGGTATTTTCTAGTTTTGATATAGAAATGGTGATATGTATATATCTATCAGCAAATCTAACATGATCAAGTGTTATAAAACCATATGAAAAGTTAAGATCTATAAATTACATGCTTTTGGAAAACTTTATTGAAAGATAGTTTTACTAGTAAGCTTTGACACAACATAGTCATTTACAAAACTAGTGGGTTTAATACCCAAGTAATATGTTTTGATTTCATATTTTTCATGTTGGAACACACCTGTACATTTATATAAAAGGGTATATAAATCATTTCAAACCAACAAGATAAACTATAATCGGTATAGTTTGGAAACCACGAACAACGTTTTCAAGGACACTTTTAATCATTTAAAGGTATAACTATCCTGTTTTTACAAGAAAATGAGTCATAGTTCACGTAAATCTGTTAAGGCTCTTGTGAGACACATTTAGTTCGTACCTACCTAGCGTACGTGGTAAGTCCTGTTAGTTATAATCAGAGTCTCCTGGAGGAAGAGCGAGAGTTTGTGTGTAGATCTTTACGGGGTTGACACTCCACACTTGAGTTGTTCGCTACAGTTAGACTAGGTCAATCTAGGGTGACAAATATCTTTCGACGAAACCGACGCCTGTAAAACGGCAAGCCAGACATATCAGTCATATTAGTATGGTTATAACGACTCACATAGGGATTAACAAAACGATTTTTGGTTTACGGGAAGCTTATACTTCATTAGTTTTATTGAAATAAATGAAACTATAAACTATTTTCTGTACGACATTCAATTCCATCAGGGTCTTAGAGTTTAAGACCACAGTTCATCTTTAAGGAAAATACCGCATTTTTCTGTGGCGATATATATTCTTACCTTACAAGGACAGGATATACACCCTGTTAGTTTTATAAAATTCCGAACTATGTTTCGTATATTTTGTAAATTGATTTCACAACTTCGGTCTTAGGGTTTTAAGACCATAACTTTTCACATGACCGAAAATATAGAATTTTCTAGGAATACATTCTGGCTAACACAAACCAAGGATAACGAACGACATGCATGCAACTATACACGGTTTTTGAAACGAGACTTACAAACCACTTTTATAAGAAAATATTGGATTTTATGGAGTTTTACAACGTATTATGAACAAAGGTTTTACAACATACTATGAACAAAGGTTTTACAACGTATTATGAACAAAGATTTTTCAACGTATTACGAACAAAGATATTACAACGTTTTACCTACAAACATGTTTATGAACTCACCAACTTTTTAGTTGACGCTTTTCAAAACGACTTGTATTCTCAGGGATCTAGTAGACAAGTATTCACCACGATCGAGGCCTGGCATCGCTGCATTATGTTATTTCTACTTTTGTTATTCATGTTTAAATTTTGAACAGAACAAGTGTTGTAAACAATGTAAACTTGAAATTTAAATGTATGAATGTTTGGGTTGCTATGTTTCATTTATATTCAATAGTTATGATATTGTACATGACGTCCTCCGCCCCCGAACGTTTCCGCCGTTTTGGTTTGGGGGTGTGACAGACATTTACATGTATGATGCAAAAGGGAATTTTTATATAAGTTTTCTTAATGTTTTAAACATATTTTCAACTTATTCCAGCCAACTTTTAGGATCATTTTAGGGTCATATGGTAACACATCCATGTTGGTTGATTAAGAAGAGAAAAACAAAAGAATTCATATTTATCCCAGATAAATTATAGCATTGTACTTTAAAATTGCATTGCTATTAAAGTGTTTTTATGCTATTTCTTGCTTTACCATACATAGTCACGTGTATACATAAAAGTGACTTCAGTAGTACATTGTAGAATAAATCACAATGATCACACTTCTAATCAGCCGTCCTACATTATAGTTGTCTTTATAGTGCCTTTCTTTTTGTAGTTTGATTCCTAAACTTTTTTACCATATTTAAAATGCATATTCATGTATTTATCTATAGAAAGCAACATCTCTGCTATGGTTTTAAAAACTGCAACACTTGCTAATGGCTATATTCTTTGATATCTTTTTTTTATCTAAGACCAATTGGATCACTGTTATTAATAGACGATAAACATATATACTTTGGTTTTCTATTAAATGGATTATATAACTTCATGTGAAAGTCAGTTTGCTCGACTTTAGTTACTCCATTCCATAAGTACTTGGTAATAAATACACAACCCTTGATATTATCATATAACATTAACTTTAAGTTTAAGTTTTTTTTTTTCCTTTTTTATTGAATTTCTAACTAAACTTCAAATGGCCCTTTTGAAATGTAGATTTTTAGGAAGAGATTTGCAGATTGACAAATGAGACGAATTTGGGTTGAAGAATCCATCACCAAGAGGTTATGAGGCAATCAATGGATAAGAGATTAAGAATAAAAAAACAGTTGGATATGGTTTGAGTAACCGTGATGCTTTTGTTATGGGAACTGATTCGTACACAACAAATGTTTTCCATACACAACAATTTGTGCATTAAAATGTTGTATTGTAAAACCCCATAAAACATAAATTGTTGTGTTTGGAGAAAACAGTTATATACAAATCACTTCCTTTTTTGTTATAAGATGGTCGTGATTGCATTTTTTCCATTTCTAGACAACTATTGATGTCTATTGAAGCAGTATATATTGTTAGAAAGGGGTTTGCAACTTTTCTTTTTAATCAATAATCATCAAATTGTTGTGGATGCTTTCGTTGTAATATATTCCCTTTGCATATGGAGTTGTATTTTTGTTTGTGTTAGTGATTTTAAAGTGATCTAATATATTGAAGAATGGTGTGTAAAGGAGTGGATGTGAGTTTTAGGTTTACCATTTATTAGGAATAACATTTAAAGATTAATTCCAATTTATTTGGTTTATAACTCATATATTGGTTGAAATTTGTTGTGGGAACATAAATAAGAACGTGGAGCGCATACGTTTCCTAAATAGATTATTGGATCCTTAATGTATTTGCTTATAGGTATTTGTTATATGTTACTTGCAATATATTACGTGAAATGATTTGTGTAGTTAATCTGTATTTTAAAAAAATGTTCAAAAGTTTGTAAAATATGTTCATACTTAGACAAGTTACTTTTTGATCTCTTTGAAAATGAAACGTGATGGTGCAATATCATTTAACCATTGATTTTTGTAAACTTTTATTTACTTATTATAGATGAAACTTCACCATTCATTTGTTTTAAATATAGATGAGAGATATAACTTGGCTTAATTGAATCAAAACATGTGATGGTTTTTTGTTGTAGAGGGTGGTATAAAATTAAAATTTTATAAAGTATCAACAAATACTAAATGTCGAGCGGATTCAAACGGATGTGATGTTCTAGTTTGAAGTATCTATCTTTATAAACAGGTTATAACCTAGTATAAATAATATAGCTATATCAAAAATATATCTGCAAAAAAAAAAAAAAATTTGATTGCATAAATTTATATTTCCAAAGGTGCATAATTATTATATAAAATAATTATTTCTAAATCTCACAATTAATGAAAAAAAATAAAATTTTACAATAAAAAATAAAACATTGCATTAATAAATTGAAACTAAAAATTAAAAATAACATAATAATAAAATGAAAACACATAAACAGAAAAATATAAAACTTATCTTTTCGCACAAAAAACCATCAAAATATGTAAAAATTGATTTTGTTGGGTAGATACTATGCAACCCGTGAACAAGCCATACAGTCCCACGCCATCTCTAACCAAACTCACTCACACATTACACACACTAATCGCTACTTTCCAAATTTGATTATCCACCACTAATTTCAAATCAAATCTATAAATCGCTGATCAAATGCATCGGAGAAAACCAATTTATCACCCAATTTCCACATCACGACTCGTTATCTCGATGGCTATAATCTCCCTCCTCTTAATCTCTCTTCTCATTTTCATTAACCCCACCTCCTCCGCCGCAGCACGCCACCGACGCATCCATCCTCCGTCTATTAAAAACGAACCATCATCGTCCGATCAGATCCATCAGGCTTGCAAGGCTACGAGGTATCCACAGCTATGTGAATCTTCACTCATCCGGTATCCAAAAGGAAATGCAATGGAAATCATTCAATCGGCGTTATCAGTCTCCTCCGAGAACCTCCATGCTGCTCAGTCCATGGTGCAATCGATCCTCGAAGCATCCAAAGGCCTCATCAATCACACCTACGCCGCTAAAAACTGCATCGAACATCTACGAAACTCAGACTACCGACTCAAATCAACGGTCGAGGCGTTGCCACGTGGCAAGATGAAGGATGGACGTGCTTGGACCAGCGCCGGATTGGCCTACCAGTACGACTGTTGGTCCGCGCTCAAATACGTGAACAATACAAAAATGATCAACGAAACGATGTCGTTTCTGAACACGTTAATCGATTACACCAGCAACGCTTTAAGCATGATGATGGCATACGATGTGTATGGCGACCAAACGGCGTCGTGGAGCCCGCCCAAGACGGAGAGAGATGGATTCTGGGAAGGTGGTGGTGGCTCCGGCGGCGGCGATGGACCACAATTAGGGGTTCCGGCGGGATTGAAGGCGGATGTGACTGTGTGTGAGCAAGACGGCGAATGTGATTACGAGACGGTGCAAGAGGCGGTGAATGCAGCTCCGGATTGGGGTTCCGGGCGGCGGTTCGTGATTTGGGTGAAGGCCGGAATTTATGGGGAAACGGTTCGGGTCGGGTTGGAAAAGCAGAACGTGGTGCTTTTGGGGGATGGGATGGGCAAAACCGTAATTACAGGGTCTTTGAACGTAGGCCAACCTGGACTTTCAACTTTTAACACAGCCACAGTCGGTAAGTCACACCCTACATTCGATATCTTTAATTTACTTAATTTAACAGGTTTTTTTTTTTTTTTTTTTTTTTTCATAAGTTGGATAAATTTAGGATTTTATATTTCGATTTATGTTTTATTTGGTTTAATTTTTAAAATTTGATGTTTAATTATTTATTTATAAACCTCCTTTTTTTATGTTGCAGGGGTAGTCGGCGACGGATTCATGGCAAGCGGTTTAACGATAGAAAACACCGCCGGTCCCGACGCTCACCAGGCGGTGGCGTTCCGCTCCGACAGCGACCACACCGTCATCGAAAACTGCGAATTCTTAGGCAATCAAGACACTCTTTACGCCCACTCCCTCCGTCAATTCTACAAATCATGTCGCATTCAAGGTAACGTCGATTTCATATTCGGAAACTCCGCCTCCATCTTCCAAGACTGCACAATCCTGGTTCGTCCCCGTCAAGTGAAGCCGGAAAAGGGGGAGAACAACGCCGTGACTGCACATGGCAGGATAGATCCGGCGCAGTCAACGGGATTTGTGTTCCGGAATTGTTTGGTCAACGGGACTGAAGATTATATGAGGTTGTACTATAGTAACCCTAAAGTTCATAAGAATTTCCTGGGAAGGCCATGGAAGGAGTTTTCGAGGACGGTGTTTATTGATTGTAAGCTGGAGGCATTGATTACGCCGCAGGGGTGGATGCCATGGACGGGGGATTTTGCTTTGAAGACGCTGTATTATGGGGAGTTTGAGAATAGTGGGAAAGGGGCGGATTTGACGGGGAGGGTGACGTGGAGTAGCCAGATTCCGGCGGAGCGGGTGGGTGTGTATTCCATCGGAAACTTCCTTCAAGGGGATCAATGGAAGGCCACGTGTTCTTGATTGGATTGAAGTTTCCGAATGCTAGTTTCTCCTTTTTGTAATTTATTAGATCAGATTAAATTCTATTCCATGAAGAATTATTAGCTTCAGTGGTTTTGGTTTTTAGCAAATCCCAGAGGATAACTTCACATGCGAATCATTTTGATTTCTTGGTTCTTTTATTAAAATTAAATAATAATAATAATAATAATAATAATAATAATAATAGAAACAAGAAAAAATAAGACAAATTTAGCATAATTATATAATTATTTTCCAAAAAACAGTTAAAAGTTAAGAAATTATTCAAATAGCAATTTAAGGCACGTAACACTTAATGGGCTATGATTTCGTTTATGGACTCTGATTTTGTGATTTCCATGAGCCTATAAGATTTAAAATTTGTGTACCATCTTAAAAATCAAAATTATAGTAAAATTTTCATCTTTAAAACCATTTTAAAATTCATAAATGTAACATAAACGTTCAGTTATCGTGTTTTGTTAGTTTAAAAAATGAATATTATTAAATAGTATATGATTTTGAGCATTGACTTCTAACAAGATAGTTTTATGAGGATTAAAGTAAAACTATGTTTAGAATCATTCGAAATGTATTGGAAGTCTTATGAGATTCCAATCAAAAGTCAAATATTGAAATTAACGAAAATGTAAAATTTAAGTTGGAAATAAGTAAAAATTAATGTTATTGAAAGTTGTAAATTATCTCGTTAGAAACGTTTAGGCGAAAATCTCATCGAAATCCGAGTTATAATGAATAAGTTATGAATTTTTAACGGATTTTCCTGTCCCGGTCTGTTAAAAATAATAATATTAAAAATAAAGTCAAAATTAGCCAACGGAGTCTAAACGAAAGCTGTAGAGTATAATCTCACCTACGCGTAGATATAAAGAACGTCGAAAACGGAGCTCATATGCGAAAGTTATGATTTTTTGAAGATTTGGGCACAAAATTCGAGAAGCTTCGCATACTAGGCTCGGACTCGGCCACGTACAAGCCTCGCATGCGTGACGCGTGTCCGACTCGTGGCGCGTCCGAAGGTCGGAAGCGAGCCACCTCGCCTGCGCATCCGACGCGTGCCTCGCCCTCGCATTTGACGCGTGTCCTCGCCTTCGCTGCTGACGCGTGTCCCCCCTTCCCTCCGGATCAGAAGCCTCGCACCCTATATAAGGGGAGGTGCGAACCCTCCCGGTTTTGGTTGGATTTTTGCACACTTTTTCACTTTAAACCTTCTTTCAAGCTATTTTACATCCCCCGAAGCCCCGGGATCATACCTAACACCCGAAGAACGTTTCGAAGTGCCCGAAGACCCCGAGAAATTTATCTTTTCGGTTTGAAACTCAACCCTGGCAAGGCCCGGTTTTCATTAAAGCTTCCGGATTTCATCAAATAAAGTTAACTATAGAAACGAAGTGTTGCCCAAATTACTATTTTAACCTCCGGTTATTTCACGGTGAGTTTAATATAGGGACAATTGCATGTTATGTGTTATATGTGCAATGTGCTTTCCCGTGTTATTATGATAATGAACTATACCTTTGACCACGAAGTGAATGACTAAGCATCACTTGGGTATTGGTATGTAGCCTTTGACCATGAAGTGAATAATTAAGCATCACTTTGGCATTGGCAGAAGGATAGGTAGGGCTGAAAGCCTGTAAATTGCTAGCCAAATGAAAATTCATAAATCGTTTATTGTCTATACCACATGGGCTGAAGTCTTATTAATGTATATCAAGTTGAAGTTGTTATGTCTCATTGATTGTAAATCTTTGAGTTAGATTATTCGTTGATATGGAAAGCATGGCATATGATACTCATCTGCCTTTGTTGTTCTTTGTCCCCTTGCTTCTGTCATGTTGATATATATATATATATATATATATATATATATATATATATATATATATATATATATATATATATATATATATGGCATAACGTTATATTGTAACTGTTATTGAACTCACTAAGCGTCACTGCTTACCCCTCTCAGTGTTTAATTATTGCAGGTGATAAGCATCCAATATAGTTATGTATTGTTAGAAGATGTAGAATAGATAATATTATAGCTTTTGTATTTAGTGTATAAATTCCTGGGAAGTTATGTAATATATAAAACTTTGTAAAAACCTCGTTAGTCGATTTGTATCCAGTCTTTTGTAACAAAACCATATATGTTAAATATGTTTATGAATATGCATGTAGCATGTTTGGAGTAATAATGTTAAGTATGAAAGGGGTCATTCAGTCATGGTATCAGAGCAGTAGTTTAAGTGAACTAAATACCACGGATTGGTATTTAGACTTAAACCGTTGGAAGTTCAATATATGAATGGATTCATTAGGAGTATATGTGTAACATCCGGATTTTCAGGGACATTATTGTGTATGTTAATCTTGAGATTGAATGAGGGACTCGACGAGTTGAGGGACCAACTCGCCGAGTCGAGTCGAGTTGATCGCGTGGATTTAATGAGTGGACTCGACGAGTCAGAGGAGGGACTCGCCGAGTAGGTACTGGGCAGAGAAAACCCTAAGTTACGGGGTTGGAGCCTATTTAAAGGAACTTATGACCTTGGATGCGCCTCATATCTCCTGTGAGAAACCCTAAATCGCCATTGGAGCCATAGGCGAGTTCTTGTGATGAAATCAAGTAATTTGGTGGGTTTTATGGAAGGAAAAGAGCATGATTCAAGCAAGGAACGAGATGGGGGCTGTGGATCTAGCATTTCTTCACATGTGACTGCTGTAGGAGGTATAATCTTGCATCCTTTCATCTATTTTGGTTAGACCTCATGATCTTGGGAGTTTTAGGGTTTAACTCCCCTTCTTTTGTGCTTATGAGCTAAGTGAGACATGATCTGAGGTGGGAAACCTCAGATCTGAACCTTGTGAGGTCCTTGGAGACTAGGTGCCTCAGCTTTAGTGGTCCAAATGAGGGTTGATGAGCAAAAACCTTCATAAAGAGCATGTATTGGCGTTTTGAAGCAATAGCATCATGTATGAACGTAAAGATCGAAGCTTTACGTAATTATTGAGCCTTGGGATGATAGATCTATAGTTTAGAGTGATAGATCTGGTTGAAATCGTCTGAATGAGTATAAGTCGGGATAGACTCGCCGAGTCAATGATCCGACTCGACGAGTCGGTTAGGGTTTCCTGACCAGACTGAGTCGCGAACTAACTCAGCGAGTCGTGTGGTCGACTCGACGAGTTAAGCTAGATCTTCATGAGATTTCGGAGAAAGTGAGTGGACTCGACGAGTCACAAGGGTGCACTCGCCGAGTCGGGTCGAATCTGGGCTGTAGACTCGAGTTTGACTTCTGTTGACTTTGGGGTTTTGGTCAACATAAGTGATAGAGACCTTGGAGGGGTAAAATGGTCTTTTACCCACTTCAAAGAGTTAGAAAAGAAGGAATCGCCTCCGGTTATCGGAGTCGTGAAAAGAGTATTAATTATAGATATTCATCCTTGTGTTAGGAGGAGGCTAGTTCGAGATCCGAGCGCGAGGTTATTTGTTCACCTGCTAGCCGAGGTGAGTCTTCTCACTATACATTACCTAAAGTGGTAACTATGTGCAGACCGGAGGGTCTTATGTGTTATGTGTATGTTTGAGTTTATGTGCATTGTGATATATGTATGCTATGTGTTATATAGACCGGACCGGAGGGTCCAACGACTTACGAGGCCAGAGGGTCCTCGAGTAGACCGGACCGGAGGGTCCAACGATTTAGACCGGACCGGAGGGTCCAACGAGCTAGACCGGATTGGAGGGTCCAACGAGCCACGGGACTGGAGGGTCCCGCTGAGACACATTGACCGGAGGTTCATACCGAGTTATAGCCTCGATTGGCTATGTGCTGTATGTGGTATTTTGGGGAACTCACTAAGCTTTGTGCTTACCGTGTTATGTGTTATGTGTTTCAGGTTTTCTCAGGATCGCGGGACGGAACCGACTTGATTGTACACACCAGAGAAAGAGTTATGTTTTGAGGATCCTGAATTATTAATGGAGTTGTGCTTTGTAATTTGAATAAACGAGATTTCTATACAATATGTTATGAAAAGTATGCGATTTTAAAATGAAAAATCTGTTTGAAAAATTACGATGTTACAAGTTGGTATCAGAGCATAGGAAATAATTAAGTGGAGTATTGGATAATGATAAATCTTTTAATATTTTAAAGTACTAAGCTACTTCAAAAATTTTAGAGCATTAGTTTAAGCGAACTAGGAATTGTAAGGATTTCTAGGCTTAAACTTGAATTGCTAAGTAATGATGGTACGATGTGTGCCTAGTATACTTTAGGTTGAATACCTCACTTGCTATAGTGTGCACTAGCATACTTTAAGGGAGATGCCTTATATGCTAATATGTGCTAAAAGATAAATAAAATACCCGAAAGCTCGAGCACGACTTGGAGATACGTGGTGTCACTCTTTCGAAGCATCCATGTGTCGATAGAACTGTTTCAGTTTCTTCTATTCCATTGGCATGAAACTTTTTCGAAGTGATAAGGAGACTTACGATAGTTGACATCGATAACTTCATAAATAAACAGTCAAGGGATATCATAAAATAAAATCTATCAAGTGATACCGTAAATAGTGTATTAATACCTATAGAGTGGTGTTGTACATTCAAATTTTGTTTGATGAAATAATAACACCTTTGGAGGAATGTTGTGTGTTCAAAGTACATTCAGACGAGATGAATGTTTTGGTGTAATCCATGAAGTTGTTCCACCACTGATCAGATTGAAGCAGTGATTGCTTACAGAGTTAGAAGAGCTGAAGATGGTGATAAATACTTCGACAATATCGAAATTGATGTTGTGCAAGATTTAGAAGAATTCAATGAAGATCAAAGGAAAGGCTAACAAAGTTTCCAAACTCAATAGGCCAAGAACTTGCCTAACATTGTGATGTAGTATGCAGTTCGAGTAGTGTGGTAAGAGATGATATGTATCCATATACAAGATGCTCAGACTTAGTATTTAATAATACTGAGTGACAGCTGACTTCTATCACATCCTTATGAAAGTTTCATAGTGTGTTAAGCCGACTTTAACATACATGATTAGGATGGTTGTGAAATGCTGAATGACTTACTAGTTAGAGTAAGATAGACTAGAAGATATACACTCATAGTATTGTATGAGAAGAGATGTTGCTGTTAGGAATGACATAGAACCAAGTCGAAGCTAGTAGAACATGCTGAGATGCAGTTAAAATGTAGACTTCCTAGGATAGATTCCTATGAAGTATACTTAAAAGATACACCCATGAGAAGAAAATTTTCTCATATAAAGGAATGATGATGTCATGAAAGGATAATGAAATGAATAAATGTGCATGATAACTTGCATGAGTTAGAAGATGATGCAGATAGTTAGAGACCGTTTGTCTCCACACTACTAGAGTAAATTCTGGTATAGTATATCTTGTAAAGTAGACACTACCCGAGAAAGAATTTATATGAAGAATTTGGAAGTAAAATTCCTATCGACCTAGGAAAAATATTAGGATATGCTAGATTGAGCTTATGCATAAAAGGATTTTAGAAGGTGAATTTAAGAAATCCAAGATATGTTTGTTAGAAACGCAAAATCCCTAGTTGAGTCTAAGAGAAATTGTTTTATGTACTTGTTTGAACACAATCAGGTGTGATAAGTTGCCTTGTGAAAACTTTTGTATGGTGACTTGGGAACTGCGAGACAATACTTGGGACGATTATGAGTAGGTGTGAATAGTAGTAGAGGCCTATACTACTGGAAGCACATGACTCACACTTGGATCAGGGAAAGTCACAAGGTTACCAAGAAGCTAGAAATTGATTTCGTTTTTGTTCGAGTATGTCATTTCCTTTGTTTTGGTGATGACTAAGAAGATGATTTTCATTCAGACCTTAGTGGTCATAGAGAATCGAGTCCGATTAATATAAATCTGCGAAGTGAGTTGATTGGTTCAGAGAACCATGTTTCGTGTAGCGACGAAATTTCAATCGGAAGATTGAAGAAGGAGATGGTCGAGGTAGTCGATAAAAGTATAACAACCTTCATTAAAGGATTAAGCAACCATTAGCTAGAAATGCTACTAGTTATGAAGATATTATATCACATTAGAACATGAAGGAAGGTTTCTTCTATGATAGTGTTTGACTAATAGAAATAAGAGTATGATTCGTTGTGTGTCTTTTGTGTTATGAAATCAAAGGTCATTAGAATATGACCATTCGATTTGTTGTTGTAGCAAAAGTGATTACCTTATCTTGGGTTGAGTCTATAAACAAAATTTAAAAAGGATTAAGAGTCTGCAATGAGAATTGATTTTTCTTTAACTCAGAGATTAGAACCGAAGGCCCAATAGAGAATGAAGAACGAGTGCAGATTTGAGCACTGCCATCAATTAAGCAGTTTGAAGAGTTTGACAATCGTTTAGTTAAAGGTCATACATTTCAGATTACCATAGAAGAGGCACACGAGGACCCGAAGGTTGTGACTGGTTCATTTCTCGTCAACTCTAGACCTGCTCAGATCTTATTTGATTATGATACCTCAAATTCTTTTGTGTCTCATGAATTTGCGCATTCTTTTCAAATTGCTTGTTATACATTCGCCCAATCATTTCATGTAGATACCTCGGGAAGTGTATCATTACCTGCTGATAAAGTCTATAGAGATTGTGTCATAGAAATTGAAGGTTATAGTTTTCTAGCTAACCTGATTCCTATCTCCTTGCCCAACTTTGAAATTATTTTCGGCATGAATTGGTTGTCAAAGAACCGCACATAACTCTTATGTTACGAAAAGATGGTACGCATCCCTATCGAAGGGGGGGAGGTCCTATTTATGTCTACGGTAAACAAAGACTTAAAATCTTAAAAATAATCTATTTCCTAGAAACCCGTAAACTTATATCGAAGGGGTATTCTACTTATCTAGCCTATACAATTGATATCTCAAAAGAGGAGAAGAAAACTGTAAATGATATTCCCGAATATCCTGACGCTTTCCCGGATGATTTGCCTACACTACCCCAGATAAGCAAGTAGAATTCAGAGCTGACTTTATGTCTAGTGCTGCTCCAATTGTCAAAGACTGCTATACAGAATAATAGCGCTTGAATAATTGTCGACCGGCTGACTAAGAGTGCACATTTTCTTGCCATATGTGAAACAGATCCAATAGAGAAATACGCACAAGTATACTTGGATGAAACTGTTGCAAGACATGGTGTGCCGCTAAAGATTATTTTTGATCGTGATAACAGCTTCACTTCTCATTTTTTTTAAACACGTATGCAATATGAATTGAGGTCTCGTGTTTCTCTCAGCACAACTTATCATCCCCAGACAGATGGTCAGAAGAAGAGAACAATCCAAACAGTAGAAAATATATTGAAGGTATATGAAGCACTATATGGGCGTAAATGTCATACTCCATTATGTTGACGTGATGTAAGACAGAAAGTCCTTGGAGGCCCTAAAATGATTCAAGACACCACTGACAAGATTCAAATTATACGAGAAAGAATGAAAGCGGCCCAAGATCGACAAAAGTCCTATGCAGAAAGGAGGAGATGGCCCATAGAATTCCAGGTGGGTGATTTCGTAATGCTGAAGGTATCCCCATGGAAAGGCATTATGCGATTTGGAAAGAAAGAAAAACTAAGTCCTAGATTTATTGGTCCTTTCAAAATCATCCAGAGAATTGGTAAATAAGCATACCGCTTGGAATTGCCTGAAGATTTGGCATGTATTCATGATGTGTTTCATGTGAGGTATCTGCGTAAATGTTTAAGCATATATGATGAAACGGTTCCGTTATCTGAGGTGAAACAAGACAATAAATTAAGATATGTAGAAGAGCCCGAAGAGATCGTAAACGAGAGAACGACTGAATTACGTAATAAAGAAGTGGAATTAGTGCTTGTAAAGTGGAAACGCCATCGAGGCCCAAATTATACTTGGGAAATGAGAATGAGATAAGAGCGAAATATCCCCATTTATTTAAATCGTTGTGATTTCGGGGACGAAATCCTCAAAAGGAAGAGGTATTTGTAACATACACGTTCAATTATCGTGTTTTGTTAGTTTAAAAAATGAATATTATTAAATAGTATATGGTTTTGAGCATTGAGTTCTAACAAGATAGTTTTACGAGGATTAAAGTAAAACTATCTTTAGAATCACTCGAAATGTATTGGAAGTCGTATGAGATTCCAATCAAAAGTCAAATATTGAAATTAATGAAAATGTAAAATTTAAGTTGGAAATAAGTAAAAATAATGTTATTGAAAGTTGTAAATTATCTCGTTAGAAACGTTTAGGCGAAAATCTCATCGAAATCCGAGTTATAATGAAGAAGTTATGAATTTTTAACAGATTTTCCTGTCCCGGTCTGTTAAAAATAATAATATTAAAAATAAATTCAAAATTAGCCAACGGAGTCTAAACGAAAGATATAGAGTATAATCTCACCTACGCGTGGATATAAAGAACGTCGAAAACGGAGCTCGTATGCGAAAGTTATGAATTTTTGAAGATTTAGGCACAAAATTCGAGAAGCTTCGCATACTAGGCTCGGACTCGGCCACGTACAAGCCTCTCATGCGTGACGCGTGTCCGACTCGTGGCGCGTCCGAAGGTCCGAAGTGAGCCACCTCGCCTACACATCCGACGCATGCCTCGCCCTTGCATTCGACGCGTGTCCTCATCTTCACTGCTGACGCGTGTCCCCCTTCCCTCCGGATCAGAAGCCTCGCACCCTATATAAGGGGAGGTGTGAACCCTCCCGATTTTGGTTGGATTTTTGCACACTTTTTCACTTTAAACCTTTTTTCAAGCTATTTTACATCCCCCGAAGCCCCGGGATCATACCTAACACCCGAAGAACATCCCGAAGTGCCCGAAGACCCCGAGAAATTTATCTTTTCGGTTTGAAACTCAACCCTCGCAAGGCCCGATTTTCATTAAAGCTTCCGGTTTTCATCAAATAAAGTTAATTATAGAAACAAAATGCTGCCCAAATTACTATTTTAACCTACGGTTATTTCACGGTGAGTTCAATATAGGGACAATTGTATGTTATGTGTTATATGTGCAATGTGCTTTCCCGTGTTATTATGATAATGAGCTATACCTTTGACCACGAAGTGAATGACTAAGCATCACTTGGGTATTGGTATGTAGCCTTTGACCATGAAGTGAATGATTAAGCATCACTTTGGCATTGGCAGAAGGCTAGCTAAGGCTGAAAGCCTGTAAATTGCTAGCCAAATGAAAATTCAGAAATCGTTTATTGTCTATGCCACACGGGCTGAAGTCTTATTGATGTATATCAAGTTGAAATTGTTATGTCTTATTGATTGTAAATCTTTGAATCAGATTATTCGTTGATATGGAAAGCATGTCATATGATACTCATATGCCTTTGTTGTTCTTTGTCCTCCTTTGCTTCTGTCATGTTGATATATATATATATATATATATATATATATATATATATATATATATATATATGGCATAACGTTATATTGTAACTGTTATTGAACTCACTAAGGGTCACTGCTTACCCCTCTCAGTGTTTATTGCAGGTGATAAGCATCCAATATAGTTATGTACTGTTAGAAGATGTAGAATAGATAATATTATAGCTTTTGTATTTAGCGTATAAATTCCTGGGAAGTTATGTAATATATAAAACTTTGTAAAAACCTCGTTAGTCAGTTTGTATCCAGTCTTTTGTAACAAAACCATATATATGTAAAATATGTTTATGAATATGCATGTAGCATGTTTGGAGTAATAATGTTAAGTATGAAAGGGGTCTTTCAATAAATTACACAAAAACATAGTTTCCATAAACCAAAATTATGAATCAAAGTATCCTAAAATCATAACTCAAATAAGAATCTAGGATGATGTGTACAATCACGTCTTCGTATTGTCCTTGTCCTCTGATGTACCTGAAACCATAAAAATCAAACTGTAAGTAAAAACTTAGTGAGTTCCCCCAAAGTACCCTACACTCAAAACATATACAATGCATGCGTACATACGAGCCTACAGATTGCCTGGACCGCTCTACCGAGCCTACAATCTACTAGACCGCCTTGCAAGTCCTACAATAGTTGGACTGCTCCCGAGCCTACAACATAAAGTTGTACCGCTCCCTTGGGCCTACATTATCAACTGGATCGCCCGTGTATCTTTCCCTTCAGTACCAAGCAGGATCGTCTCAACCCAACAAAACAGTAACATGTTGACATATGAAACGATAACCAATAGCCAACAAGTATAGGTAATTATACAAATCTACCAGTCTAACATATAATCAATGAATACATGTAATCATATAGATCTACCAGTCCAACATATAACCAACATAACATCATCCTATATACCGGAATATATAACCTAATGGGTCAGCATTGGTGCCTTCGACCAACGAGTACAGTGAGGAAAACTCACCTCACAATCTGAAGGATAGCTGAACTACTCACTACTCCAAACTGGATCTACAAGTCTCATGTACAACACATAGGGACCAAGCCTCAATCTACTACTCAAAACACCCCAAATGACCTAAAGTTAAACTCGATCGCCAGATGTTCCTATGTGACCAATATAAAAATTCCATAAATGTATTGAATAAACTTAATTACTTATAATTGCCCATCTCGTCAACATAAATCATATTTAAATGTCGTTACCTAATATTACCCACCAACATTGTATAACCATAATCTTATAAATAATTACACCAAAACATATTTACATAATATTTTCCATCTAATTGATATTTTAATTAATCATATGATAAAAATATAGTTAGCCCAATAATAAAGATTTGCCTTCTTCAATTTAACTATTAGGCTAAAGGGAGTGGTAACACTCCTAGCATCTTGTCATGCCAGCTTTTTGAGTGACATCTCATTTTTTCCCATTTAACACTTAACATTAACATTTGGTAGGGAGTGGTAGCACTCCTAATACTCCAATCAAATTTATATCGACATCAAGTTTATCAAGTGATATTCACCCTGTTATGTGATCTATACATCTAAAAATAATCATACATTTAAGTGTGTTCTTCTACACAAAAATTTACCAGTAATCTTCATCGTCATAATCATTCCTGGATCTAAAGAACCTTCTAACGACATCTGCTGCAGCACCAAGAAGCATAAAAAACACCAAGGTATCAAACCCACCGCCGACTCCCACAACCACACTAGGCCCATGTGCAAAGAATGAAAACGCCGACCACCCCCAACCACCATACCCACAATTGTATCCACCGATTAGCGGTGGTGCAACCGGTGGGTTGATCTAAATATTGGTTCTGCCACCACATAAATAAACATCAAATCACTTTGATATAGAGAATATATAACCCATAAATTACCTTATATATAACCCAGAAATTACCTTGAGTTATTGATTCTTGGTGAAGATGAACGAGGTGCCGATTGATTTGGGGTAGAACCGAACGCCTGACCACCGACACGGCCGTCGGATTTTGCTGCGAAAGCTGGATCGATTGATCCAAATGTTAAGACCCCACCTGCCATTGTTACCAAAGCAAGCTTTGCCAATTGATTGTTGTCATTAACTCTGAAGGTTCATGATTTCCCACATACAAAAACTATCAAATTAAACAAGGTTAAAGTGTAATCGAAGTGTTGAGAATTGAAATTTGGGATTACCTAGATGAAGATGACTCAGTGGGTTTTGTGATGGAGATTTGGGGGATTTTTTACCAATCGAATTGCTCCCTCAGTCTCTCCCTCTTCTCGCCAAATCTGTAACGAGGCATGAGTGGCGACCCTCCTAGCGAGAGCTAGGGGGCGGTGTTCCTGGATAGCTGGCCGGCATGGCGAGTGGGTTTGACACCCCCACTCCGTTTAGTCTTATTGTAACCCAAATCTCCAGGTCCAAATACTAATTAGTCCTATATTCATCCCAATATGATTTATTAGCCCAAACTGATTTGTTAGCCCATTAATGATTAAACCTAACATCTAATACATGAGAAAAAAGAAAGTCAATCACATACCTCCAGCGCCTCCAACCACATTCACCCTTATGTCGACTTCAAACTTCCATTCTGACAGCATCACCACCTCCGGCGAAGCTTCCAACTCCAGCATACCTGAGTCCCTTGTCGAAAACAGCTCAACAACCAGCATCATCATCTTCGTAGAGGAAGTTAACAACCCAAATCATCTTCTTTTTCTAGTTCTATTTTCTTCGGTGCCCACCTAAGGCTTGATGTTGCAACCTCTTCATCGAACCTTACAATCAGTGAGGTCTAACTGACCATATCTCCATAACACTATTATTTCAAACCTATTTCCTTGTAGGTTCAAGGTAGACTCCCAAAAAGTCGACATGCGTTGGCTGAATACATCACCGGAGATGATTGAATCTTCTTCGTCAATCCCGTCACTAGAGCTTGGTAAAATTCGTCGGAAATCATACATAACAACCATTGTTGCCCGCTGGTTCTTCCTTGGTGTTACCAACATATTTCTAGTCTTCGATCAAAAATAATCTCAAAGAAAATATCATCGAAAACTATACAGCCTTACCGGAAAGACGCAAAGAACCACCCGAGAACACACACACATTTTGCAGCCTTTGCGGATTTCTGATCCTTTAACCCTAATGTATGTGTATAAAGGTCGAAAGTTATGATAAAGTGGCTAGGATTTAAACAACTTTTGAACATAATCGAGATATGCAGGTCTAATTTGAGGAACACGACAGATCGTCTGCGTTCTTGCTGAGGAATGAGACAGCAAGGTTTTGGGGTATTGACAGAAATGGTCCCTGGGGTTCATCAAGTTGACATATTAAACCCTAAATCTAATTTGTCTTACAAATTGATTTACAAAAATTACCATTTAGACCTTGTACTTAAATATTCTAATTCTAATTATTATTATCATTATTCATTGATCTTAATAATATCTTAATAATCATTTAATTTTATAAATCACATTTCAATCAATATAATTAATCTCTTTTCATCTATGAATGCCTTTTTACTAATCAACTTCACTTATTTCACCTTACAAGTTATCACCGAATGAAATCATTATTCGAATTATTTAATAACCCTATTTCAAAATGGATAGACAGAAAATGGGGCGTTACAGTTTGAAATCATTATTTCTACACAAGTGTTTAATATATAATTTTATGCATTAGACATTTGTATAATCTCATTTGAGGAGATGAAATCATAAATGAGATTGAAGAGAAGAAATCACAGATGAGATGGTGGAAATCACAAATAAATATATGTCATCTGCAGTTTCATCATGCTAAAGCAAAAATTTATTTTTATTTTATTTTATATTTTTGATAAAACCGCAAGTCAATCATAAAATCACAATCCAAATAACGAAATTCCAACCATTATGATACAACTTTGATTTTGAAGGCTATATTGATCGTTACTTAACTTTTTGGTAATTCCTTTGGTTAAGAAGGACATATATTAAATTCTCTCTCTTATTGGTTGTGGTCCCTCATAGTAACATCCGTCCAAAAGTGTTGTTACCTACAAAAAAAAGGAGGGTATTTTGGTCTTTCCAACTATAGTGACCATTTTTGCAATCTTGTTTAAAGTAAATACAAAGAGATAATTAACTCACTCTTCCATCTTCAACCTACTCACGATCTCCATCTTCAACCTACTTACGATCTCCATCTTCTTCCCTACTCATCATCTATGCTCACACCCATAGACATCAACAATCGAAATGGTGGTGTGTTTCTGTGGCATGGTTGTGATGTTTCGCACCTACTGTACATTAACAAACTTTGGTCGAAGGTCTCATTCGTGCCTAACCTTATCATGTTGTGTATTGGTTGTTTTATAACAAACTCATTAAGCCTGCAAAAACCATTAGACATGTTCTTAACAAACTTATATAACAAACATCAATATTATCCTCTTAAAACCACTAGAAAGATCATTCTTTAACAATCACAAAAGTTTGACACTAAATCCATGACCAACAGGTCCTAAAGGACCAAAATACAACCATGACAAATGTTCTAAACCATTACATCCAAAAGACATCCAACAATATACAATCATAAGTAATGAGAAACAAACAAATTATAAACCAAAAGATATGCTCTAAACACACTAACTGTTGCCTTGACTGCCACATCCATTTCCTCCTTGACTTCTACCTCCATTAATCCCTTTAATGCTTCCTACATTCCCTTATTGTCCCTTGAAAGTCCTGAAGTTATGACCCCTATTGTTGCCTTTCCTACACCTAACACTAAGAAACTTTCTGGTAAGTCATTCAGGTTGACTTGCACCATGCTTCTAACATTTTGTTCCTTTTATCTATATTACGCTTTATCTTGGTCTTTGGTCTCCAGGTTGATTGTGATATGGAGGTGGTGTTAATTTTATTGGACATGTACTTTTTGGCCACATGGATCTACCCTTTATGGGGTCTATCGTGTAAGAGTAAGCTTCCTTCGAAGTTTCAAGTAAATACACTTTTTAAACATAAGTGTAAAGCTCCCCAAATTTCTCTCCACTATCACTCATTTCATTTATTGTAGTTATTTCATGTTTGCATGGAATCCCATTCAACCCCCACCTTCTGTATATACATGACATCTCTCGGATGTCAACTACATGTTGGTCACACCAAGGACCATAAACTTCATACTTTGCATTCCCATTCCATCTAGCCCTATATTGGAATGAAGCTTCCCTGTTTTTTTTTTCAAGTAACTTTGATGTTGTTGGAGTGACTGGGCCTGGAGCTTTGGACATCACTTTCATCACATTGAAAATCCTCTTCATAAGGTATTGCCTGATAAAATCAAGACAAATTATAATGGGTTTATCCCTGCCATGAATAAGCTTACTATTGAAGACTTCACAATATATTAAATAAGTGAAATACACAAATAATTATTAATGGAAAACCTAAGGTATGAGTGTAACCTAAGAAATGGCTTATTACCCAATGACGAGGGGGGGAGGGGTTCTTTTCAACCACTAAGAAGCTTGTTTATCAAAGTGGCTACATTCAGTCATGCAATGTTCAAATTATGGTATTGTGGTGGTTGTTGCACACTGCCATAAATGATCGTTATACACTCTTATCTTCCATGTTTTCCTCATATTGTCATGGATATGACTTAGACAAAATTGATGCTCAATATGTGGGTATAGTTGTACAATAGCAGGTAAGATTCCCTATAAAAGTTTAAACCAAAAAATTAGTCCTGCAAATGGTTAATAAAGGAACAATTACTTATCCAAAAAGAAGAAAACAATACCTTTCGTCTATCACTTATGAAAGTAATTTTAGAACTAGAATAAAAATCTTAATCATCTCCCAATCATTCAAGAAATCATTTCAGCTATTGGTATTCTCAACCTCAACAATGGCATATGCAACTGGGTATATGCTATTATTTGAATCCAAACCAATTGTAGTGAGTACTTGGCCTGGAAAGTGCCCTTTCATAAAAGCACCGTCTAATCCAAGAATATCTCTTAACCCTAATTTAAACCCTTTATTCAGTTCCCTTAAGCAAACGTACACCCTCCTAAATTGCCTTGTTTTTAAAGTAGTATTAGGCTCATTAACAACCTCAAGCTTCACATGTGTAACCACATTAGTTGCTTTTAGTTCCAGTAGATAATATTTTAACATCTCATATTGCTTAGTATAGTCACCAATCACATGCTTTGTAGTTGTTGCTTTTTCCTTCTACACTTTATGTATGGACACACTAACTTGAAACTTCTTCTGAACTTGGCCTTGAATGCTTCTTAATGGAACTGTAGGTTTTGAAAGATCTAGTATGCTCAAGAATCATATTAACGTGATATTTCTAAATAACATATGATAAATAAAGGGTCATACTAACAACAAATTTATATAATTGATTATTTATTAGAAATTGATTTTAATAAATATTTAATAAACTCTTATAATTAAATTGGGAATTATTTATTTATAGGAAATAATTAATTTTCATTAGCAAGTAACATAATATATCATATGTTATGATTTATTAAGTCATGTACAACATTTTGGACTAGAAAGACTTTTGTCTTTTATCCAAATGACAAAGTTTATAAATTATAAAAGAGATTACAAGTTTATAAACGTTGGCTTCTCTTTTCTTCTTACTTCTGCCAAAAATTAAAGAGGGAAAGAGAGGTATGGTTTGTAGCTTATTTTAATCTAGGGAACATAATTTAGAAGTATGGGATTAAAGTATTACAAAAGATGAATGGGTTGTCTTAAAGTGTTAAGGACTTGTGGGTAAAGAACTTGATTTTAAGTGAGGCTTTTCATTCCTTTCTTTGAAGAATGCTAAAAAACCGTAAGTGCATGTGTGTGTGTGTGTTTTCTCTCTAGTTTTGTTGAAGATTTGAAGATCACACTCTTGCCTTTGCTCTGTTTATGTTCTTATTTTTTATAAGAACATAAAGCTTAAGAGTCTTAAGAGTTTTGGACTAACATCTACATCAAGTTGAGTCATTGTTGGTGTCTCTAAAGTTCATCATTCTTCATCAACTTCCAAGCCTCCCAATAGGATCCAAAGAACTACAAAGGTTGTGATTTCTTCATCTTCTTCTTTGGTGCTTGTTTAAATCTTTCTACAACTTGCAAAATGATCCTTGATGGGTTTAACTTGTTTATGTTATTCAACATGATCAAGTTTTCTTATTGCTAAAAATTATGTTTTTGAAACTAGTTTTGAATAAAAACCCAACAAGTGGTATCTAGAGCCACCTTGCAAGTTTGGTTAGATTTTTTGATTTTTGGAAATCTTAGTTTTTGGAGAATATGGATAACTTGGTTTTGTGTAAAAAATAAGTTCATACATATTTTCTATGACAATTTTATAATTGTTATTTTATGTGACAAAAGTTTTTATGTATCTTTTGTCATTTAAAGTTGTCTTAGAAAAACAAAGGTTGTTTAAATGTGTATGTTGATGTGTATGATGTGCATAAACTAGCCAATGACCATTGTATTTGTTATGTTGTTGTGTTGGTTTTTTTTTATTATAAAATGGTTGTAATAATTTATTTATTCATATGGTATGTAATAAGTTAAATAGATTAGTTTTCTTGGTTAATTTTTTTAATTAATAGATTAGTTGTTAGAAATAATTTATTTGTACAAAAATGTAACAAGAAATGAAGTTGGAGCCATTTTTTGAAGACCAAAGAGCAATTTTCGAGTTTAACGACATGCTGAAAGTTAGTGACAGTTTCTGAAAAGTGTCACTACTGGTGTTTACAAAGGGCTATTGGACTTTTAGTGATAGTTACTGAAATATTGCTTTCAAGAAGTCTTTCCAATCTTTTGCAAGCAAATGATGTTTACTCAAGTGGGAGCTTCTACAACAACATTACAAGAAGATTTTTGGTCCCTTAAAATGTCCATTTCAGGAATGGACTTGACATTTTTTGTTTTGACTCACAAAAGAATGTCATTAGTTGGTTATGTTTATGCACATATAATTTGTTGCATGTTTGTGTTATTTATTTTATGCAATTATTATGTGTGGTTGATAAATTAGTTTTTTGCATGCTAAAATAATTTCAGACAAAATAAAC